TGCCAAATGGAACTCTAAAGCTCCTTCAATTCACATGCCTAGAGAAGAAAATAATCAAACTCTTCTGTCAGGGATCACCTGGCTCCCCACATCCCCTCACTTAGGATGTTTTATTCCCACTGGAGCATGTGATTGGAAAACAAAGGTAAATGGGAGCAATTGATTCCCGGATCCTTTTTTTTTTCCCCCAGCAGGATTAAAGCTGCCTCAGCCATAAAGAGTTTACAAACTCTAAAGAAAGATAATAACTTCCCTTCTCACGGCCCGGTCATGGGGAGGCAATGCATGTTTCCAATCAGCTGAGAATGTAACTCAAATGGTAGGTTTTATTTCACTTTAATCCGCCTGTGAGTTCACGTTAAAGGTAAGAGGAATCACAGCCCTGCAATTCAAATAGAGTTCATTAAATTCAGCATCTCCTCTTAACTGGGCTGGGTTGTTTACTACTCCCCACAGTCTTGGATGGGCTTTGAGGGTCTGGTGCGGTGTCCGGCAAATGGCTGGAATGCAGGTGAGGCTGCCACCATGAAGGAAGCTGGAGGGAGGAGCTGTTAACCTCATGGTACTGTGGCGACATCAGCCACCACTACGTGTCACGGGGTGGATGCTGAGGAAGAGAAAACAGAGAAGAGCTGGAGAAGCTCACACAGTAGATACACTGGAAGGCAGGTGACCTTGCTGGCAGCCCATTGCAGGGGGCGGTGGAGGTGGCGATGTGCTGTCCCCACCACATGGAACTTGCTTGCTTCTGCACACCTCTTTGCTGGCTGCAGCCTTGCTACTCAGTGGGCGGTTGTGGAAAGAATCGGTTCTCGGTTCCCATCCCAACTCTGCTATTTAGACACCGGGAGACCTGGAAACAACCCGTTGACAAAGTCTTGCTCTACACGTTTCTGCAGTGACCGTCCATTTGAAGGGATAGGGAAATATTCCCTCAATGTCCTGCAGTGAAACTGTTTATGAAACTCACTCCTTTGGGTTAAGCATTGCCTTCTCGGCCCTTTCCTGTGTGGATGGAGTGTTGGCACAGTGAGGCGGATGTTGCTAATGGACGCATCGGGGTGTTCTGCACAGGCTGGCCTGCATAGCCCAGGGGTGGAGGGAGGAGTCAGGCTAGAGCCTATGGAGATTTGGTGGACAACAGGCCCAGGCTCAGTCCAGCCAGCCCAACCTCTGATTGTTATCCTCAGAGTCCCTCCAGGGTCTCCTTGGCAGGGGCTGTCCCCTATGAGCCTCTGCAGGGGACAGGAAGTGCTGACTGAGAATTGTCTCTCTCACATGCACCCTGTCAAATCCATAAACCTTCCTCAGCAGTCACCACACAGAATCCCAAAACCCCAGGGTTCTGCTTGAGTTTGAGCTATACAGGCTCAAGGACTAGAAGGAAGCACCAGCCTTGTTCTGCCCCAGCTAGAGGGTCTGTGCTGCCCCAGCTAGAGGGTCTGTGCTGTCCCGGCAGAGGCCTATAGGAGGCAGACACATTCACCTCTACTTCCTGTCTGCCCATGGCTTCGTGGTCTTCTCACCCCAGCTGGCCAACTGGCTTCCCACCACTATGGGCCTTGCCCTGTCCATGCCGGGCCTGATGGCCTGGCTCAGACTTTAGCATCTAAGGATACTGCTGCCTTGACCACCAGAGCCCCACCTGTCTGTGCGTCTGTCCTCTGTTCAGCTCTGTGAAGGCCACCAGGAACACAAGAGTCAACAACCCATGGCCTTGGTCTTCAAGGAACTTGAGGTCTCACTGGGCAGACAAGCACGGAGTGGGTGCTCCACCACGGGCCTCGCTTCCTCCAGGCTGTAGCCAGGACTATGCTGTCTAGCGTGTCTGCTGTGACTTCCTCATGGCAGAGCCCCACACTGTGGCTGCTTATGGAGCATTTGCATGTTTCCCTCGAGGGGAGGCTGTGTCTCTCAAGGACAGCTTGGGAAGATTCACATTCTTAGAAAAGCAGAGGAATGTGAGTGTTAAAATACCTTAAAGGGCAAGGAGGTGATTTCTAGATTTCCAGACAATGTCTCAGAGAATTGTAGTGCTCTGGGGTATACCTGAATGTAACCAATGTAGCTCCTTTTGTGCCTGCGTGTAGACTGAGTCCATGTGTCCACATGCATTCAGTTCCTCCCACCAAACTGGACAGTGATAGCTAACCCTGTTGACCCTTATGTCTGGGTGCCTTAAATGTGTGATGCCTCAAATTGACCTTCACAATGACTCTAAGGAGGTAGGTACTGTGATCTTTCCCAGTTTCTACAAGAAGAAACTGTGGCACAGGGAGATTCAGTCACTTGTGCAGGATCACAGAACTATAGTAAGTGGTCAGGGAGGGGGACAAGAATTCTAACCCAGGCAGCAGTCTGACCAGAGGGCCCTAGCTTGGAGCAGCGTTCATGTGCACTGTGTGTTCATGTTTAGCGTATGTCTGTGCATACCTGTGTGTGTGCACATGCACACATGTTCACTCAGACGCATGGGCTGCCCTGCGGTGGGAGCTGAGGGAATGCAGTGGAGGTTGCTGGGTGGAACTCACCCGCCTGCTCCGGTTGTCTGAGCAGGTGAAGGATAGTGATATCAAGTGCGAAGACCAGGCCCTGAAGCCAGCCTGACGGTTTCAACTGTTAGGAGAAAGTGAGGGTGGGTGCCATGGATCTGATGATTTCAGTGATTTTCTACTCAAGAAAAATGAGTCTTGGATGGGCAGAGCTTAACTGTCTTAAAAACTTGGCATAGGGCAAGGTGTGAGTTTCCCGGGGAGACTGTGTGAACTGTGAAGAGGTAGAATCTGAAACTACAGGCCAGATGTTTCCTGGCTCCCTCCCGCCTGGTCTGACCTGTCTTCCTTCAGCTGCTGTGCAGTTCATCCTGGGTCCCTGAGGGGCTCGCAGATGCTTCACTCCAAAGATCTCAGTTGCAGAGTCCCCTGTGGAGGAATTGAACTCTCTCCTCTCTCAGGACTCCAGTTGGCAAGGGTCTGCTCCTCCCTGGAGGGGAGAGACCCTCACTGAAACCCTGGAGAGGGCCACTCGGGGCAGCAGCTCATTCCCAAAGTGTCTGGTGGAGCTGGGGAGTGGCACCCTGGGGACTCTGGGGTTTCCCCACCAGCTCCTCTCTCCAGTCTTTCGTGTCCGGGTGCAGCCTCCAGGCCATGGCTTCTTGAGTTCTGTATGTGGTTTGCTGCTCCCACAGCATGCGTAGTTGGGGGACCATTTTGGTCGGTGACAGATCACTGCTGCCTTTCATCAGACCAAAGTACACGTGGCTTCTTCTCCTTGCCAGCCCTACCATGGCATCTCCCATTACACTAACCCTGCCTATTGGACCTTCTGATGCAAGGAACAGATTAAAATCCCCTCCTGGTTGCCCACCAGGTCCATGGCTACAACTAAATCCCTAGTTGGGGCATCATGGAACACAGGTAAGCCCTTGAGTTCTGGAGCCAGCTTACTGGGGCATGAGTCTTCCTTACTTCCGTATGGATGGTGAGCCCTCCTCCCTCAGGTCTCATGATAGCAGCTAACCCTTATTAAGTGTGTGCCAGGCACTGACTGAGTGCTTTACAGGTGCCACCTCCTAAGACCCTCATAACTCTAGCAGGTAGTAAGTACTATTATCTTACCCATTTTCCAGAGGGAGAAATAGAGGCAAGAGCAGAATAAGTCACTTGCCCAAGTCACATAGCTACTGATGGTGTGATGTTGGGCAAGATATGTAATGTTTCCGAGTCTCAGTTTTCTCATCTATAAAGTGCAGTTAATACCATTGTCTATCTGGGGTGTTATGAGCCTTAAACAGGGTAATATACATAGCACCTAGCAGAGTCCTAAGCACATGGTAGGCACTCAACAGGCAAGGCCACTTAACAAGAGTATGTGAGCCCAGCTGGAGGAGAGAGAAAAATACAATGACTATAGCACTAATCACAGTAGTGATCAAATAAGTAATGCACTCCTGAATGCTTGACTTTCCTGAGCACAACGTAAACTCCCTGAGGGAGTTTGCCTTACTCACTTCTGGTTCAGTTCCGTGGCTTTGCACAGATCTGGCACAAGGTGGGTGCTTGGTGAAGGTTTGCTGAATGAATGAGGAACTGCTTTGGGGGTCCAAGGGGTCATTCACAGCATCAGATAGCCCCTTCCTAGCCACCCTGCTCTCCCTGCCTTGTGGCTGTGATCTGAGTGTTTTTGCTTCATTCCTGTTGGAGAGGAAGCTTCCCAAACCAGGGCAAGCCTGGGTCTTGCCCACCTCTGTTTTCCTCATAGAGAAGATGTTCAGGGCCTGTGAGTGAAGTTGGACCTCCTTGTAACTTGCCCTGGGTGCAAAATGATCATCCTCTTGGGCAGAAAACAGAAATTGCTGGCAACTACAGACCCAGGGATTCGAGTCAGCCAGGGGAACAGGGCTGTGCCCTCGGCGCCTCAGATTCCTGGGAGAGTGGGGTCTGGGATCATGGTGACCATGTAGATCCCTCCCTGCATCACACCAGTGAATGCTGTTTCTAAACCACACTCTCCCCTTCTCAGCATGGCATGGCAAGTGGCTGCTCCCCTTATTCACTGAGAAAATCCTCCCACCTTTGGCGTGCCTGGCTCCTAACGAGTCCCTTATTTGGAAGGAACACCCCCACCCCCATTGGTGTGTGACTCACCCTGAGTGAAATAACTGCTGGGCTGAATTCTTACACAATCCCCCACCCCATCCACTCATTCCCTGAAGACCTTTGCCCTCAAGTCAGCCAAGGCCTTGATCCAGAAGTGACAGAGAATGGGGAGTGTGAGGATGAGGATGATGATGGGGACAATGAATTTCCAGGCAGGCCCAGCTCCCAGCTCCCATCCTCAGGAAACCCTGAGCCCTGCCTGCGTCTTTTCCAGAAATGTGAGTCCCACCTTTCCAATTTCCTCTTACACCTCGTCTATATTTCTCACCCCCACCTCTGCATGACAGCGTGGCGTGCATGTGGCCCATCTGGGGATCAGGGAATCCTATTGGGTGTGCCAGCTTAATGAAATACTTGCAGTTTATTAAACTCAGGCTTTCCTAAGCCCCGCGTGCCTGTGGGTATTTGAAAGCTGAAGGTAACACCAAGCTACCACAAATGTAATTGTTACATGTGTCCACGCATTCCTGGTGCAACCTCAAACTCCCGCTCTTAAGCAGCACGCAAAATGAACCACATAAAGTAACTCCTAGTCAGACAAGAGGGGGAAATGTGTGGAAATGCTGAGAGAGGCTCCCCAGAACCCCTCAGGGCCTCTAAAAGTATATGAAGTTCCCATTACTTTGCATAACTCTGGCCACAGAGGGTGCTCCACCCCGGACTGTTTGTTCAGTGTTTGCAGAATTGGTTCATTATGAGCAAGGCAGCCAGCGGGTTTTGCTTGTCAAGCTTGCATGATGTAGTTCAAATACTTCAAGTCCTGTTTCATCTAGCAAAGACTTGCTCTAGTGGCAGGGCTAGCAGAGTGTACTGTCTGGGAGTTCCCTCTGGAGCTGTATTTCTGTTCCTCCTCCAGGTCTTGGCTGGGGAGGGCTGTCCCAAGTCTGGGAAGGGCCGTGGAGAAACCCCAGGCAACCTGAAGTCTGCTGCCCTGAACCAGGGGGAGGCTGCTCCTGGGAGATGCCTTCCCATTCGTCAGTTTCCTCAGCCTCAGGTCTGTAAATCAGGGGTGAAGGGCTGACATGGAAATAGCAGACAAAGGCCTCCAGGGATGTGCCTTCTTCTACGCGAACCAGCATCTGGATGCCTGAGAAGGAGAGCCTGTTGACGGTACTCAGGGTGACCTGCTCCAGGTACCTCAGCGTCAGCCCATTGACCCACACACAGCCCTTGCGGCTCAGGACCTTGAGGCAGAAGGCCAACATGGCACTGCCTTTCTCCAGGTAGGGCTCCAGGGACAGGTGACGACGGGAGAGGTGGGGGAGCTGCAGCTGGAGGTGGGCGTCCTGCCCCCGTCCGAGCAACAGAGGGCTGGTGTCATGCTGCAGCCGTGGTGGCACATTGGCAAAGGCAGATGGGCCCAGCGTGGGGTGGTACAGGCTCACCCGCAGGATGGTGAGGGGCTTCTCCATGGATGAAGGCCTGGGAAGATGGAACATGGACACACAGGCTCAGCTTGAGTCAGAGACCTCTGTGGCTCCCTGAGCCCAGACACAGTTGCCCACCTCAGGGGCCCTGTGCCTGTTCATACAATCACTCTGCCCAAGCCAGGATGGAGCCAAGGCTGGAACTGGTGTGGAAGGTCATGAGCTTAGTCTGTCTCATACTCTGAATACCACCCACTCTCTCTGACTTCTGGATTTCTGTAATATAGGTATGTCTGTCCTTGTCTATGCAAGGGATCAGGCATGCTGGCTTGCAGGGTGGGGCTTTGGTAATTTTTTGGTTATTTGGAGACAGTTTGGCTCTGCTTCTTGGAAAAGAAAAGGTAGACAGACCAGCTACATCTTTCTTGTATCTGACAGTTACACAACAAACCCTTGCTGAGTCCTCCTTTGAGCCGAGCAGGGAACCAGCTGCTGGGGAGAAGCGGATTCAACAACAAACTGAGCCCTGACTCTTGGGAGCTCCCACTGGTGGAGGAGAGAGGTGTCTGTAGCACCAGGATGTATGGAGGGACACAGAAGGGGGAGGCTTAGCCATAGTCCTGGCCACCAGAAAGGCTGCCTAGAAACCCTAGTGAAGAATAAACACAGCTAGCACATTCCAAGTGGTTACTATGGGTACTTGGTGGAAGGCCACTTACAATGGCCAGCTTTGTTCCTGCATGGGTTTGAGGAACACAAACTCTGCTATGTCCACCAACGCCATGTGGCCCAGGACCTGCCATCACCTTCAACAGGAACCAAGGGTTGAGCAGATTTGAATAACTAATTATACATTCTCTGGGTACCAGGCTTTTGCTCACATTATTTCTCTCCTAAGAAGGTATCTTCTATTCCAAACTCTGTGTCCAAGCACTGCCCATGGTTCAAGGCCCTGCTCAAATGTTACCTCTCCTGTGAAGCTCCCTTCCCTGGGGAAGGTGACCTTTCACTGCCTCTGACTCCCACAACAGGGAGAATCCCCCAGGACACCTGGCCAGCCTTATTCCCCATTCATTCCATCTTTGCATTTCATGCCCAAGTTCTGTGGGCCCTTGTCCTGTCTTCCCTGAGCTCCTCTCTTCCTGTCCCTGAGGCCTCCCAAGGACTGGGTGTGGTCTGGGCTGTGGTTCTTGCTGTACCATGTCCCACTGCCCCGTACAAATAGGGTTTGGCCACCATAAATGTCCAGGGACACATTTGCCAAGTGGCTGAATGAGAAGCCCCCCACCACACACACACGGTGAAATCACCCAGAGAGACCACAAATAGGATCAGATCTCAAAGGCTGTGTGGGACAGCAAGCCTGTTGCAGGTGGCTTGAACCCAATGTCCCTCCAGGTCTTGAACCTTTTAGATGCAGTAGGTTAATGGCTGGGACCTTTTAGTCTGACAGTGAGGGCACCCTTTCACTATCAGAGGCCTCAGGGCACCCTCTTTCCCCTAAGGCACAGACACATGTATGTCTCTGTCCACACCCCATCTGGCCATAGTCTGAAGAAAGCCTCTCTTTTTTCTTTTCTTTTTTTCTTTCTTTTTTTTTTGAGATGGAGTCTCGCCCTGTCACCCAGGCTAGAGTATAAGTGGCATGATCTCAGCTCATGGTAGCCTCCGTCCTCCAGGTTCAAGGGATTCTCCTGCCTCAGGCTCCCGAGTAGGTGGGATTACAGGTGCCCGTCACCATGCCCAACTAATTTTTTGTTTTCAGTAGAGGTGGGGTTTCGCCATGTTGGTCAGGCTGGTCTCAAACTCCTGCCCTCAGGTGATCTGCCCGCCTCAGCCTTCCAAAGTGCTGGGATTACAGGCGTGAGCCACCACGCCTGGCCAGAAAGCCTTTTCTTGAGGTGTGGGATACAGGCGGAGCCCAGGACAGGTGGGCTGGGCAACCATGCTGTCAGGCCTGGCTGGAAACTCAAGAGTTCACTCCCAGAAACTAATCTCATGGCCCAGAGACCCTGAAAGAATTCCTTAGGAAGAAAGATTCACTGTTGCTGTGTGGCCTCACTCTCTGCTCCACTGAACCACCCAGAGCTAACAGAAATCTCCCACCAAAGAGGTGTCCGTGTCTTTTGGATCCCAGGTATTCTGGGGAAACAGAAACCCAGCCCTACAAATCCAGCCTTTGGGATGAGGTAGGAGGAAGACACTCCAGAGTGTGTGTCTCGGGGGAGCCCTCCTCCCAGCCCCACCAGGCCTTCCCTTCTCCCCATGGGTTCAAGACCCTCTGGCTTCCACTTACCTTATTGCCAGGGCACATCTGACTCTAGTCCTGCAGCTGTGAGCTCTTGGGAGGGAGTAGGCTGGTTTGGGTAGGGCTGGGGAGGGCTCTTACGGCTATGGTTCAGGAACATGACAGAACACACTTCAGTTTTGTTGCATTCTTCCTTTTTCCCTTTAGGAAAGAAAATAGAAGTGTAATTTTTCATTGCAGAAGTGCTATTCCACTGCTGAGAGTTTGAGAAACCCCAGCGTGCGGCCCCTTCTGAGATAGATGGCGTGCCTTCCTGGGTTTCAGTTCTGCCAGCCTCTCCTACCCCACCCCCAGGGACCTTAGGACTTGCACCCAGGGTATCTGCAAAGTTCCTCTCCACCTGCCAGTGGGATGGGGTCAAAGCAGTCCAGGCATGTTAGAAAAAAAGAGCCTTTTGGGACAGAGGGCTACTGGACGGGAAAGCCCCCCTGAGTGTGGGAGAATGAGGAGAGCATTCTGGCTGGATAGAAGTTGGCCAAGGAAACTGTAGGCAACATGGCACTTCCCTGAGGGTCTCAGGAGAGGGCAGGGCCTGGGGACGGGGAGGATGGAGAGGGCAGTAAATGGCCACTCGTAGAAGATGGTCTCTCCTGCAGAATAGTGAGAAGGCAGTCTCTCGTGCCCACTCCCCATTGCCCGAGCTATGCTTGTTTGCATGCAGTTTGGAAGGGGTGAAAATGGTTGCATGTCCAGCACTGAGGGCTCTGGCTGTCCTGGAAGTGGCTAAATGTGAAGGTGCTAACCCTTCACATGGCCCAGAAATCCTTAGTTCACCAGTGTGTTCAAGTCACCTGCATTATCTCCTAGGAGTTTTATAGTTCTATACATACATTTTAATTTTTATGACACATGTAAGGTTTGTGTCTAGATTTTTTTTTTTTTTTTTTTTTGCTTATAGATGTTCAGTTGTCTCAGCACCATTTTCTGAAAAGACTTTTTTTTTTTTTTCAGTGTTTTCTCTTTACTCCTTTGTAAAAGATTGGTTGACTGTATTCATGTGAGTTTATTTCTGGGCTATCTACTTTGTATCATTGATCTATTTGTCTGTTTTTTCACCAATATCATACTGTCTTGATTGCTGCAGCTTTGTAGTAAGTCTTGAAGTTGGGTACTGCCAGTCCTTCAATTCTGTTCTTCTCTTTCAATTTTGTCTTGGCTCTTTTGAGTTGTCTCTCCATATAAACGTTAGAATCAGTTTGTTAATAGCCACAAAATAACTTGCTGGGATTTTGATGAGACTGCATCAAATCTATCAATAAAGGAGGGAAGAACTGACATCCTGACAGTATTGAATCTTCCTATTCATGAACATGGGATATCTCTCTATTTATTCAGTTCTTTGATTTCCTTCATCATAGTTTCATGGGTTTCCTCATATAGATCTTGTACATGTTTTGTTAGGTTTATACAGAAATATTTCTTTTTGAATATTAATGGAAATGGCATTGTGTTTTTTATTCCAAATTCCACTTGTTCATTGCTGGCACATAGGAAAGTCATTGATTTTATGTATTAATCTTGTATCCTGCAGTCATCCTTTAATCACTTACTAGTTCCAGGAGCTTTTTTGTCAATTCCTTTGGATTTTCTACATGGACAATTATGTCATCTGCAAATAAAGACAGTTTTTTTTCTTCCTTCCCAATATGTATACCTTTTTTTCCCTTTTAATCTTACTTCATTGGTTAAAACTTGTTGGTTAAATGATGTTGAAAAAGAATAGTGAGAGGGGACATCCTTGTCTTGTTCCTGATCTTAGTGGGAAAATTTCTGGTTTCTTATCAGTAAGAGTATGAGGTTAACTGTAGGATTTTTGCAAATGTTCTTTTTCAAATTGAGAATGTTTTCATTTATTCCTAGCTTGTTGAAGATATTTTGCTCTAAAGTAACTGACAACCTAGAATTCCATACCCAGATAAAGAATACTTCAGAAATGAAGATGACATGAAGTCATTTTCACCCAAAAACTGAAGAATTTGTCAACAGTACACATACTCTAAATTCTAGTGTTCTTCAGACAGAAGAAAAGTAGTCCCAAATGAAAGCATAGAAATGCAGAAGAAAATAAAGAGCAATGAAAATGGATATATTCATACAAATCAAAGTAATATTAACCATATGAAAAGTAATAATAATGACATTTTATTTTTGAAACTTTTGTTTTAGTTTCGGGGTATATGTGCAGGTTTGTTACATGGGTAAACTTGTGTCATGGGGGTTTGTTGCACAGATTATTTCAACACCCAGGTATTAAGCCCACTACCCAATAGTTATCTGCTCTGCTCCTCTCCCTCCTCCCACTCTCTACCCTCAAGAAGATCCCAGCGTCTGTCGTTTCCTTCTTTGTGTTCATGAGTTCTCATCATTTAGCTCCCACTTACAAGTGAGAACATGTAGTATTTGGTTTTCTGTTCCTGTGTTAGTTTGCTAATAGGACGATGGCATTTTAAAACGTGTTTAGAATATATGTATAATTACATGACAACAATAACATCAAAAGTGGGAGGGGTAAAAATGTAATTATAGTGTCCCAAGGTCCTTGCATTGTCCAGGATGCAATAAAATTACAATTTAAGGTAGACATTAATAAGTCAAAGATGCATGATATAATCTCTAGGATAATCAATAAAAGAATAATAATGTCTTAGTGACAAGCTAATAGATGGGAAGTGGAGTGATACATTATCAATGACAATGAAGACTGAGAAGGCTTGGAAAGGCACAGTGGAATAGGGAGGACATCCAGGTAGGGAGGGTGAGGACAGCCCCAGACCAGGCCTGCAGCTGGGTTAGGTAAAATTGAAGGGGAGAAGAAGGGCTCTGGCACTGACTCTTCCTGGACAGACACTGACGCATTCCAGTAGCTCACCTCCTGCCTTCCTCTAGGCCGAGGCACTTGAGACCCTTCAGCATGGTGGCCTTGGAGGCTGTTTCCTCTAAGGGTTTCTGACTCTGCTCTTCTCCTGGGGGTAGGCTGCTACTCTGGAGGCCTCGCTGGTTACACCTGGGCCTTTTCTGACCACCCTGAGATCCTTAGGGCCAGATGCTCAAATAACTGACCTGGAAGCTCAGCAAAGGGAAGTGACCAGCCAAGGTTACACAGTAAATCTGTAGCACAGCTGGGTGAGGACTTAGGTGAGCTGACTCCCAGTCCTCAGGCCTAGCCACAATACACCTCCACAGTCCAGATAGCTTGATAGCTGTGCCACATACTCCCTCTGGGTCATACTTGGGGCCAGTCTTATAGGTCTGGAAACAAGTGTGGCTCCTGGTTCCTCAATAGCAAGTTAAGCAGAGAGGTGGGGGGTCTAGGGGGAGGGCAGTGAGGGGCAGGGCTAGCCCCCACAGCCACAAGATGTTTGGTAGCAAACCAAGCAAGACAGGTGACTGAAGCTCAGTGAAGTCCTCATCATGGTCTTTGCATCTCTCCAATTGCCTTTTCTTGTATCCTTCCCCTATCCCCTGTACCCTGGCTCTTCCTGGTACTGGGGAAGGGTGGGGAGCAAAGCTCAGATCACTGAGAAAATCCTCTTCTGACAATTCTTGGGGACTTGCTGTGACTCCTTCTCTAGGAACCTATGGAAGGCAGTAGTAACCTAAAGGAGTGGTTCTAAGAGCATGCCAGACCTGCTGTTTGCTCTGTGCAGGAGAGAAGCCAAGTACAGGTGAGGCAGCTAGAATGACCAAAACCCCATATGGCCACTCCAAGGCAAGAAAGAAACCATGTGCAGGCTAGGCAGCTAGACTTGATCCTGAGCCTCTTGCCGGCACCACAACCCTAGTCAGTGCAGTGATAGACAATGAATGACTGAAAACGTGAATGGCTACTCCAAGGCACTTCAAGGACTGCAAAGGCACATGGATGGGGCTGAGCCTACTGTGTGAAGGTGGCTGGCCATGCTCCAGAGCCTTTCCTCTTATCAGTCTCCCTGGTCCAAAGATCACCTGGCCTGCTGAGTGTCCCTAGACCCTGGGAAAGGACCTCATCTTTGGGGCTCCAGTCTGGGCAAGACCTCAGTGATCCCTGGATATTTCTGCCCACCAGCAGAGTAAGGTAGTGGGCAGAAGCTTGGTAGGGAGCTTTGTCATCCCTAGATATGTGACCTCAGGCAAGTCCTATCTCCTCCCTGGGCCTGTTTTCCTCCCATTGCCTTCTGTTGCAATTGTGAGTCATGAGTGGAGGGCTACGTCCATGCTCACAGCCCTGGTGTGGGAGGGTGACTGGGCAGAGGTCATGTGTTCACAGTGCCTGTGTCTTTAATAACTTGGGTCACAGCAGTTTCCAACCAGAAAGAGAACTGAAACAACCAGGGAATTCCCTGGCAAGGAGAAGTCCTGCCCAGGCTGCATCTTTTAGAAGCCAGGAGAAATGCCCCAGGTTTGTGGGAAGGAGTATGCATACACAGTGCTGGTTGTTGGCTTACCGGAGGCGGATAGGAGCTGGAAGTCTCACGAAGGGAGAGTGAGAGCCCAAAAGGGCGAGAGCTGGGGAAGTGCCGGTTTCACTCAGCCTGGCCCCCTTGGCTAGGACAGTCTCTGGTTGTGTGTTGGGCATCTGGTGTTGGGATCCTGGGGCATATTACATCAGTCAGCAAATGTCCCCCATCATGTGCTCAGGGAGGGCTCAAGGACAGAACAATTGCCTCCCCAGGCAACCCCTGAAACTCCCACCTCCAGGGATTTCTCCAACATTAGACCAGTGAGGTTTCTGCTGCCAGACGGATTCAGATCTGACTGAGGCTTTGCTCCTACATGTAACAACTCAAGCAAGTTACGCAGCCTTTCTGCACCTCAGTTTTCTGCTCTGTAAAATGGGGACAAATTGCTGTTGCTGTGAGGACTCGAGATACGTGGAAAGTGCCAAGCATGCGGTGAGAATTGATAAGTGAGAACTGCTCTTAGTAGAACCCTTGGCGGTAGAGTAAAAATGCGCCGTGGGGACAGGGGCTGTCAGAGGAGACTTAACAACGCACACACAAAACCTAAGTTTTCGGACAGCTCCTGTTTTTGCTTAAAATAAGCATGGCTTTAGAGTTGAATTCCTAATGTGCCTGAGTTTCCTATAAATTCCATTTTAGATTATAATAAAGTAAAAGGAATTCTCCAAATAATTGCTGGGACCTGTGTCCTTGACGTCCAGGAAGGCTCTCCATCTCACAAATGAGGAAGCTGGGGCTCAG